TCTTCTTCTTCTTCTTCTTCTTCTTCTTCTTCTTCTTCTTCTTCTTCTTCTTCCCAAGACGAAACAGAAACGCGAACAAATCACACACTACGATTGTTCAAGTCCAGTCCGCCATTACAATAAGCCTGAAACGTAACACATAAGGAAAGGTTTTTGCCTACCTGAGCTCGGGAATATCCGACACAACGTCCCACAAGGTGAAGGTGGGCGTGGCTAAGACGTTGCTGATCACGTGGGCCACGCCGTTGACAACGCCCACGTCCAGCACTTCCACGTGGGATCTGACCAGGCCGTCGGCAGACTCCAGGTACAATTCTGAAACAGGATTACGAGGTGCAACATTAAATTGTTGTTTAAGTTGTTACATTATAATAATTGTTTGCGTTTAAAAAGCAAACAAAAACCAAACGAATTTTTGTTTTGTTTTGGGTAAGTGTTTTACGGCGCCCGAAGCTGCATAAGGTCATATGAGCGCGCGGGACACATTAAACTTTTTCAGTTGGTAGCAAACTTTGAATTTTGCCCGGGTGGCGGCCAAAGCCTACTCTTATGGATTTCAGATCCCCAAGGGATCTTTAACGTACGCAACGTGCACATGGCACCTCTGAGATTTTTCGCCCTTGTCCGAGAAGGCTAGGTGTAGATCTTTCTCTCCAGACGATCAGGGGTGTGGGAGAAAGACAGCAGTAAGAAGAACCGAAGGAGTAGCAGTAGAAAGGATGCAGAAAGAGTCAGGAGCCAAGAGGAAGGGGCAAAGGAGGTGAGGGGGTGGGGGCAGAAAGTGGAGACGAAAGCAGACAACAGGACATTGCTAGAGAGCAGGAAAGGAGGCGAAAGGAGGCAATTTTAGAGAAGAAAATTTTTCTGTCGTTCCCGGATTCGGACCCCGGACTTTTGAATGAGAGGCCAACACCTTAACCTCAAGGCCACGAGAGCCACCAAACAAACAAACAAACAAACAAACAAACAAACAAACAAACAAACAAACAAAAACAAAGCCATTATACACTGGGTCATAGGGGGAGGAGTTATTTCGTTATAAAATTAATGTGCAAAAGCAAAATGATGAAATATAAACACGTCTTGTTGATGTTTTAAGTTCCTATCTACGAGATTTAGATCTTTCGGGAAAAAGGCTGCTCTGAACGAGCCTACCAAGGCCAATCCAAGTTATTGAGTGCGATACCACAACCCCGCAGAAAGACGGATTTTACATAACACATTTCATCAAAGGCACACAAATAACAATCTGTAGATTAGCAGTGTGGGTGGTTGGCGGGTGCTCTGGTGTGGTTTGCTTCTTCTTTCCTATCAAACATCTATCGTCCTTATCTCCCCTTCTTCTTTTTTATGTTTGA